GGGGGTGGGGGGTGGGCAAGAGTCAGACTTGTCTGCTTGGAGACTGTTGGAAGAAATATCCAGGTCCAGGTCCAAGCTGGGAGAAAGGCACTGGAAATAAAATGGAGGCTGGAGGCTGATTGGAAAGAAAGGTTCCCTATATTGATGAAGCAGCCACTGGGACAGCACCAACTACTGGGACAGCTGACCAAATGTCTGAATGAGTGGATGGATCTTTATAGTTTCTGTAACTTTGAAGTTTGGGATTTGTGCAATATGGGCTTTGTGTACTAAAAGGGTGTTGGGTAAATCTTATTGTGGCTGATGGCTATGTCCTGTGTTAGATTTTTGAGTGAGGGGCAACTTTCTCTAATCCTATCACTCTGCTTTTGTTAGTGGTTGAAATTGCTGTAAGGGGTTTTGAAATATCCTGTCTTGAATGGACTTCTGCAGGCAGTATTTGCTTTGCTTATGAATGGAGCCAACTAAATAGTTGACTTCCTCATTCAATAAGCTTGTTATCTTCTTAAATGCCAGCATCTGCAGTTAGCTTCTTGTTACAGTATTTTCTTTAGGCGCTTGGCTGGAATGTAGAATGGGCTTCAGCAGGGGTGGGATTCAAATTTTTTAACAACCAGTTCTGTTGGTGTGGCTTAGTTGGTGGGCATGGCTTGGTGGTCATGTTATTGGCTGTGCGTGGCCAACTCAATATCACTCACATCGAGGCACGCATCTCTTCGCCTGACCTCTCATGACTGTGGGGATGCTGCAACAGTTATAAGTGTGAAAAATGGTTATAAGTCACTTTTTTCAGTGCCATTGTAACTTTGAATGGTCACTCCACACAAGCAAAGTACCAGCAAAGGAGGGGGAAAAAACTCCAGAGACATTCCTGAGACAGGAAGTCCAGTCCTGCCAAGAATGTAATAAGGGTTAATGGAGAGGCAGGTTCTGTAAGCAACACCAGAATGTTTCCTTCCTGCCTTCCTTACAGGATTAGGCCAGTAATTTCTTCTAACAACTGATTCTCCGAACTGCTTAGAATGTTAACAACTGGTTCTAGCGAATAGGTGCAAACCTGTAGAATCCCACCCCCGGGCTTCAGGCAGTTTTTTAATTAGTGCCTTGATCTTTTGGATTTTCGGAGGCTTTTCCTTATGGTAGGCATGTCAAACTTGCAGTCTGCTGCCTGGATAAATAACATGCTGGGCCCACCCCTGCCCAGCTTGGCGAAGGGGGGGAAGTCCCGATAAGTCACATGACAACACTGTGATGATGCAAGTTAAACACCCTTGCCTTATGGCTAATGTTTCAAAGGCTTTTTCTTATGGTTAATATTTTATTTGAGGTAACAGGAGGTTTGATTTCTTGTCACAAGACTATCTGGATTACACTCTGCAGTTTTTCTTGGCAAGATTTCAGAAGTAGTTTGCCTTGCCTTCTTCCGGGTACTGAGAGAAACTGGCTCAGGGTCACCCAGTTGGCTTGGTGCCTAAATTGGGATTAGAACTCATGTTCCCCCAATTTCTAACCTGATGCCTTAATCAACACACCAATGTGTTGATTTCATGTAGTTCATCAATATTTTGAACTCATTGCTTTGAATTGTATATATCCAAATTTTGACATGTAGATGAAGTGAGGTAATATTGGAGGTTTGCTTGCCTTCTGCAGCAAACCAGCTTTCCAGCCCTGACATTATTCAGTTCTAGTACAAACACTAATTAATCAAAGCACTCTTCCACAGTTTATCCATCAGAATTTGGGATGTATGTCAGCCATTATCTAGAAATAATTAGTTAATGACCAACTTGTCTGCTAATTCTTGAACAGTTGAAAGTATATTCTTGAAATGCCTGTCCTTTTTCTCTGTAACTGTGAAAGACACTTAGGAAACCCAGGCATGATTGAATGTTTTCATAATAATGAGCTGAATAGTCTACAGAGATTACGTCTCAATTCCAACATTTCAAATAGGCTGAAGTTATAATAAAGCAGAAAAAGAAATCCTATGTACTCAGCACAGATTGTAGCCGATAAGCAAACAGTAATGGCCAGTTTGCTTAACTGATCAAAAATCTAGTCAAGTTGTTGGGGAAAAAATAGCATCCTTGTATTTTTCAGTGTAATGGGTTTCACATAGTAATAACACAGTTGAAATTAGAAATACCTACATTTTCAATTAGACTTTTCTATTATTTTCCTAGAGCACCCATCACAATCTAACCACTCATTTTTGTAGGATTGAGCCAATTGTACACACGTGTCAATGATTGCATTGGCAATGGAAGCAATATGCAGATTAGTGTTGTAAAACCAAGGAGTTGCTTTGGAATAACTGCTTCAGGATCCAGTACATGATCAAAATGTGGAAGCGACAACTGCTCCTTTCTAGATACATCAACAGTTTTATTAGCAATAACTGAAATGTTGGCCATAAAAACTGTATCTTCACTAATAGCTTAATCAGATCACTATCCATTTGGAATTATATATAATGCATTTCCAAATGTTTCCACAGCATCTCTTCCTTCAGTATGAAACTCAAGGAAACTTTGTACATTTCCAATTGTGCTGTTTTTTTCTTTTTTTATTCTTAAAATAAAGTTTATTTAAGTTTCATATATTTAAAACATTTAAGAAGAAACAAACATATAAACAAATATATATACATATATACATTTTGCAGGAGGTATGGAGCATTGGTTACATTTTTTTCTTTTTTTCTTTTACCCCATAACATTGACGTGATCTACCTTGTTACAATACCTTCCTCGTTCTTTTAATGTTTTAATTTCACAGAATACTTTATGATTAAACACACGTCCTTCATAGTTTCATAACTTATTCAGTTGTCAAATGATGCTTTTTCTTTAACCATTTGTACCAAGTTTTTTTTGTGTGCTGTTTTTTTCCTATGTTGTCACAGACAATATCAAATATATATTTTTATGATTTTCATTATTGTAGAAGTTTCCCAGTACCTGCAGAACTTGCCTGCTTTGTATCTAGTGCATATGAATTCCTCTGTACCTGTATGTGTAGGTGTATCTGTGGAAGACCTACATCTAGTGTTATTAACATTAGATATCATGGTATACAATAGATTCACCTCCTGGTGTTGATCCTGAATAGTTTCTGCATTCTCCCTCATTTCTTATTCTCTTCTCTGATCTTTCCTCCAGTTAATTTATTTTATTTAATCTGCATTTTGTTAAAAGCTCCCAGCTATCCATTCCTGGCAATCTGTGTAATATGTTTCTAGTGGGAGGCAATTAGTTCATATTCCAAACAAACCATCCCTAACCTGGACTGATAAAACAGAAGAGCAGACATATGGCTGGATAAGATATTCCTAATACAAATTTCTGTTTTAATTACTACTTCACATTACTAGTATTTTTATTCATAGACAGCATGAGTACAAATTGAAACCACTAAGAATCTTCACATAAGGGAGTTTCAGGCTTGGGAAGAAAAACATTATTTCAGTTTTAGATAAACTGGACTGAATAAGGCAGTACAATACAACATGGTATACTTTATTTATTTATTTATTTAGCCAAACAATTATTAAATAACAGGTATAAACATGGTTATAAATATATGAAATGGATACGAATAAGAAAAAAAAGAAACAATAGGACCGGGATGGTAGGCACGTTTTGGTACGCTTATGCACACCCCCTACAGACCTCTTAGGAAAGGGGTGAGGTCAATAGTAGACAGTCTAATATTGAAGATTTGGGGGGTTTGGGAAAGAAACCAGAGTCAGGTAGAGTATTCCAGACATTTACCACTCTGTTGCTGAAGTCGTATTTTCTGCAATCAAGTTTGGTGCAGTTTATCTTTAGTTTGTATCTATTTAGTGCTCTTGTATTGTTTTGGTTGAAGCTGAAGTATTCATTGATAGGTAAGACATTGCAATGTATAATTTTATATACTATACTTAGATCGAACCTAAGGCGGCGTAGTTCTAGGTTGTCTAGGTCTAAAATTTCAAGTCTGGTGGCATAAGGTATTCTGCTATGAGTAGAGGAGTGGAGGATTCTTCTCGTAAAATATTTCTAGACTGTCTCAATTGTATTAATATCAGATATGTAATGCAGGTTCTAGACTGATAAGCTGTATTCAAGTAAATGTCTAGCAAATGTTTTATATGCTCTAGTTAGTAGAGTGATATTACCGGAGAAAAAGCTACGCAGGATTAGGTTAACAATTAGGTTAATAATACTGTATACCAGGATATCTAACGTTAACAACACTAGATGTAGGTACTCCACAAATACATCTTCCTGCATTTCACACCTTTCCAACACTGGATCCTTTAAGAAATCTTTAGAGTATCATGCGCCTGAATGAAATTAATAGAAAAGAGAGACGTTTTGTATCTTTCCCACCGCTATGTATTTATAGCATTTGAATACCGATTCCTAAGACTCTGGACAGCACATAATAAACCAACGTAAAAAACATTAAAACCCAACCAGCAGCTTCTCGCCAAAATCCAATTCATATTAAACGACTTTTTTTAAAAAAAAGGGCGAGCATTTTGTTGGCGGTGAGAAGCGGCAGCCTAATAAAGAGGGTTGCTACGCACCGTCAGCCCCCGCCCGCACTCTAAGAACAAGAAATGGTAAAAATAAATAAATAAATAAATAAAAAGTGCAGCGGAGGGGACGAGAACCGAAGCCTGCAAAGGGACGCCGCCGCTGAATGCTCTTCCCAACTAACTCCCTCCCCCTTGCTTTAACTAAGCGCGCGGCGGCTCTTCCTTCTGTCATGCCACCTCCCACCGGCGCGGCTTCTGCCTTCGACGAGCTCCTCATCCGACCTCTCCGGGGGAAGGCGGGGAAGTTCCGAGCCTCCTCCTCCTCCTCCAGACTCAACTAGCCGATCCCGTTTTGCCGGGTTTGGCCGCCCAGGGTTCTTCAAAGCAACGTATCGAAGCTCGACTCCCTTGCCTTTCCCTCTTGCTTTGTTCAAACAATTGCGGGCGGCGCGCTGGGAGTATGGCTCGGTGCAACGATCGGCTTTTTTTGCAACGCCGGGGACAGTCTCTGGCATGGCTCCTGGGGCAAGTGCTTGCCACGGGGCTCATCCAGGCCGTGAGCGTTGACGAAGCCCTGCCTTTATTCGCAGGTATAGCTGGCTGGAAGCTGCCGTCTGAATTCGGTTTCCCCAGCCAACAAGTTTCCATTAGATACGACTTCTGACTCTTGAGTCCCGCAAGGACAAGCGGTCGGTTTTCTGTCCTTTCGGATTTCTGCTCCTCTAATACAGATAGTCCTCGACTTGCAACAATTCGCTTGGTGACCGTTCGAAGTTACAAGGGCCCTGGAAAAAGTGACCTATGATCGTTTTCCACACTTAGGACTGTTGCTGTGTCCCCACGGTCACGTGATTTACGTTCAGACATTCGGCAGTTGACTCGCATTTATGACGGGTTCCGGTATTCCTGGAGTCATGTGATTCCCCTTTTGATGAGCCAAGTCAAGGGGGAAACCAGATTCACTTAACAACCATGTTACTAATTTAAGAACTGTGGTGATTCTTTTAACAGATGCCGTGAGAAAAGTCGTAAAATGGGGCAAACCTCACTTCACAAATTTCTCACTCAACAGCATAAATTTGGGGCTCAATGGTGGTCTTAAGTTGAGGACTATCTGTAGTCTGTTACCGTTCTTTCCCCGAAATCTTTAGACGGCATCAGCTTGCCCACCCACTCGCCTGTCCTTTGGTGCTTCAGATGGCAGCGCCTAGCATTGTAGACAGTGTTCTTGCATCTGCGTCCCTCTTGGCTGCTTGGAAGGCAAAAGATGCGCTAGGACTGTACGTACAGGCAGTCCTTAACTTACAGCAGGTCATTTAGCGACCGTTAAATGATACAAAGACACTGAAAAGAGTGACTTATGACTTTTTTCACACTTATGACCATTGCAGCATCCCCATGGTAATAGGATCTAGATTCAGATGCTTGGCAACGGGTTCATATTTATGATGGTTGCAGTGGATCATATGATCATCTTTTGCGACCTTCTGTCAAGCGAAATCAACAGGGAAGCCAGGTTCACTTAATCGTGTTACTAACTTAACAACTGCAGAGATTCACTTAATCAAGGAAATAGGGCAAGGTTCACTTAGCTGTCTCGCTTAGCAACAGAAATCTTGGGCTCAATTGTGAACAAGTACTGGACTACCAGTACTTGTTCACAACTTTGCAAATTAATGTATGAAATCTCTGGCTCAGACTGCTTAGAGCAGTGTTTCTGAACCCCGACAACTTTAAGATGTGTGCACTCGAACTCTCCGACTTCAGATAGCTTAAGTTCGCACATATGCTGGCTGGGAAATTGGGAGAGTTGAAGTCCAAACTTCTAACATTGCCAAGATTGAAAACACTAGCTTAAGAGTAAAAAGGGAACGAACAAGGAAGTTATGCTGCCAAATGGTTGCAGATGGGACAACAGTGGCCCCAAATATATGTGGGTGTGTTTTCGATAGGAACAATTTAGGACCACAGTAATGGATTTCAGGGCTAATAAACTGAATCCATCAAATCATAGAAGGCAGGCGTATTTCAATATGGTAGCTTGATTTGGTTTGTGACCACAATTACAATGCTTGGAAAATGCATATCCAGTATTTTATGATGCTGTGATTAACTTTCCATTTTGTATAGATAGTAGCTGTAAACAGTTGAAGATAATGAAGATAATGCATAGTACAGAATCAACTTGTTTCTGCTACATTCCAAATGGAGCAATGCACTTACAAAATACTTGGTCAACTGTTCAGGTAAAGTCATGCCGTTGATGCACTCATAAATTAAGTGGTTAGGATTATTCTCAGAAGCAGCTCTTGATAATACTGATGCTACTTAGGATTTTACATGTTCCAGTTCACCAACATCTAAAGAGCTACATTCACCCTTATTCTAAATAAATCATGTGGTCTTATATAAGGTTGCATCTACATGGAGAGCCTCAGTACTATGTGTAGATTTATTTTTGGGAGATCAATCTTGTAATTTTTCAGACAAACATCAGTATTTGCCTCCTGCTTTTTCTTCCTCTTATATGATTGAATACAGAATAATTCATTTGTGTTAACCGGAACCTGAGTTTTTAGTTTGTAGCTTACAATCAAGGCAAGATATCAAGCCAGGAATTACAGTATTTATGGCTTGCAAGCTCTGCTTGGGTTTGGAGCAACAGATCCAAATTCCAAGTTTAAATGCAATTCGTTATTTACAGATAGCACTCATCTCACAACGATTTGTTTAGCCACTGTTTGACTGTCACTGAAAAAAGTGACTTATGACCAGTTTTCACATGACTTTTGCAGCATCTCCATAGTTACATGATCAGAATTAGGCTGCTTGGCACCTGGTGTGTATTTATGACAGTTGCAGTGTCCTGGGGTTATGTGATCACCATTTGTGACCTTCCCAGCTGGCTTCCAATAAGCAAAATCGAAGGCAGATTTGCTTAATGATTGCATTATTCACTTAACAATAGCAGTGATTTGTTTAACAACTGTGGAACAAAGGTCATAAAATGAAGTGCAACTCACTTAACAACTGCTTTGCTTAGCAGTGGAACTTATGGATTCAATTGTGGTCATAAGTTGAGAACTTCCCATATTTGTACTAGTTCTTTACTTGTGCAAATGGCTGAGGTAGGGTGCCTCGGGATTTCTGTCTGAAAATGTGTGTAAACATAGATAAACTTTAATGGTGTAAGAAATCCCATTGTTCCTTATTTCACAATTCCTTTTCATTTTTGAATATATAATTAAGAAATTATATTTTTAGGTGTCCATAAACAGCACTGAATTATTTCAAGTGATGTATATCCCAGATGAATATGAATGCCAACATTCTGAACATTTCCTCGATTTTTTGAAGTGCCTGATTAGCAATATTTGGCAGCCTAGTGTGTCTAATCAAACGATCATGACAGTGGACCAGTATGTTGGCAAAACATGTTTCAGGATCAAACCAACAAATAAAGTACTCTTCACTGTGAGCGTACAACAAAAGAGTGAGTAATATTAACAGATATCCATTTATAAAATACTTTCGTATTATCAGAAGTATGCATTTTCAGTACATAAGTGAAACAGGTTTTGATTTCCCATCTTTTTGCTTTGTTCCAGTGTTGGATTGCAAACTCGTTCTGTTATTTGTTGCTGGTGGACTTCTTTTTCATTTTGCCTATAACCTGAGTAGGTACGCGCTAGCTTTACTGGAGTCTGTCAATTATATGAACTTGCTACTTTTGAAAATAAAAAAATGAGCTGCAAGTCTGCAAACCTAAGAAATTGTATTGATTTCAGCAAGACTTGAGACAAGCTACCATGGGTAGGGTTGTCGTTCTATCCTTCCAATTTTTAAAGTGTGTATTTATTTAGATTTGAAATATTGTCTAAATCAGTGATCAGTAAGTGGGTGGAATTAATAAAGGAACATATTGAGAAATAAATTGAATGACTATACCAGGGCTGAGTAGTTGGCTTGGCCATGATGTATTTAGCAAACTGTGACTGAATTCACCCATCACATTAAGCTATGTATCATGCAAACCAAAAGGACTGGATTTACTTATTAAGATAATCTAAAACTGAACCAACCACTTTATAGTTTAACACAGTTTATGAATCCAGGCAATATGAGGCAAGGCATTCTCACTGGATTTTAATTGCAAGATTGGGGGGGCTGTATAAGAAAGTGAAGTGATCCGTAGAATTTAAATAAAGCTGTATCTTTGCTTTTCTCCTTTCTTGAACTTGTTTTCCATGTGTAAAAGATTTATTAGCATTCATGTGTTTCTCCCAAACAGGAGTAATATCTTCTATTATTGTGCTGGGATAGCATTTGGCATTTTCATGCCTCTAGTCTTTCTCATTTTCATGCTTAAAAGATTTATTCCCAAGGTAAGTTTATGACTTTTAATATAAAGTAAGGCAGAAAGTATTTGATCCTTCCCCAATGTTAACTGAGCTTTTAGTTTTGTGGGTGAATCGAAGGTTACTGAAGTGGTTTAACCATGGAATAAATATTTCAGTAGCCAGCTAGTAGCATGGTCACTAACTAGTAAAGCAGAATAAAACCTTAACATTACTGCAGCTTGAGGTAAATAGTTTTGAATCCTGTATTTTCTATAGAAACAGAGTCAACTGGTTATTTATTCTTGGACAAGATTTCACTATGGGTGGAAGATTCAAAATCATAAGATACGTAACGGAGGGCAAAGCATTTTGGTATTTTTGTCTCTATAAACAAAGAGCATTCAATAAAACAGTTGAATCCAGATTCTTGTTCTCCACTGGAAGTATTCCTGGAGCAGAATTCAATTTAAAATGTTGTACTGCTAGAAGAAGATAATTGGTCTCCTTTCCTCAGGAGATCCCTGGTGCTTCTTTTTCCCGTTATTCTAGAAATCCCTTAAACCTTCAAAGCAAGTTTTCTGAAGACATAGGGAGCTGCAGTCGAAGGAAAGCATCACTGAAATATAACCCAGCAGTTCTGGATATATCTAACCCAATAACTCTTTCATCTTTGATCATGAAACAGAACAGTTTGACTTTACTTTCCATGTCAGCAAAACACACATTTCCGTTTCCTAGCGATATACAAAGAAACTCCAGTCCTTAAAATGCTGTATTAAAAATACCATGTTTGTTCAGTGTTTTGCTTGGTTTTGTTCCATGTAAATTTAGACCCTGGGTTATATTTTAATTGGTTTTTTGTGGCTCTACTAAGTTTTTATCAAACAGAAAAGTAAGAGCTTCCCAGCCATGGGTTGTATTTGTATCTGTAGAAGACCTTTCCCAGAGACCATTAGATGGTCATCAGAGGAAAGGCATGTGCTGTTTCCATAGGGGTGTAGCCTTTGTAAGCTTACATTCAATGTTTGTGCTAATTGTGAAAATATGCACCCATTGGGACAAGGGGTCTATTTGGCTCTTGCGAGAAGAACCTTTTGACTTTTAAATTCCAAAATGACATTATCATTAGATTTGTCTAATTGCAAGCTCTTCTCTTCAGTCCTGACTTGCTTCAACTTGATTTGCGGTGTTTCACTAACTCCACTTTTGTATATCTGTATGAACAAACATACACCATAATCAAATACATTCTTCTTTTCTTTTCCCTTCTTTTAGCAAAGCACCTTCTGGATTTTAATGAGTGGATGCTGGTTCTCTTCTCTGTATGTGTTCTATGTTTCAAGAGAAAAACTGAAATGGATGTGGAATAATTCTACATATTATATACTGGGTATGCGAAATAATAACAATATAAGAGACTTTGAAAAGGAGCTTCTTTTGCAGTTGCAGCTCTCTTCAGTCCTAAAATGGAAAGCTTGTCAAATGAAGTACATTATCTCCCAAAGGTTGCAGATTCAGCCTTAACTCTATCCTAATTAGACATGTCTATTGCAGGTAGTCCTTAACTTAGAACAATTACTTTAATGACCATTCGAAGTTACAATGTCACTGGAAAAAGTAACTTACGACTGATTTTCACATTTATGACAGTTGTAGCATCCCCGTGGTCACATGATCAAAATCTGGGCGTTTGGCACCTGGCATGCATTTAGGACGCTTGCACTATCCTGGGGTCATGTGATCACCATTTGTAACCTTCCTAGCCAGCTTCCGGCAAGCAAAGTCAATGGTGGGGAAAGCCTGGTTTTATGATTCACTTAAAAACTGCAATTATTCACTTAACAATTGCGGCAAAAGATCATAAAATGGGGCAAAGTTCACTTAACTGCTTTGCTTAGCAATGAAAATTTTAAGCTTTGGTTGTAATTCAAGGACTACCTGTATACTTACAAGTAGTCTTGGTTGCATTCCTGGTGAATCTTACTTGGTTATATTTGAATGACTGAAAGACTATTCTGAAAACCTTCAAAAACTGAGATTTTATTGTTTTCCTCCCTCCTGGCTCTGGGATACAGCAACCTTTCATTACTCTGGATGTTAAAAAAGCTGTCTCTTCCTTGATGGGAAAGATGATGCTTCAGATCTGCAAAATAGAATAGCTTCAAGAACCTCTGGAATTATGTGAAGTGATACAAAACATTCTTTATGTAGTGTCCTTTAATATATATAATGAATCATCATTTAGTGTTTAGTCATTGCTGCTTGTGTATGTTCATAGCACTAAATCAGGATTTTTTTAAAAAAATTAATGTGGCTCATAATGATAAGCTATCGGGTAGATTCACACATCCATATATGCTAGATTGACTTTATATGTGAACTAAATAACTGAGTAAGAGATATGCTTGTTCAACCTCTGCCGCATAGCTGCAATCATGAAAACTCCTATTTTAAAGTTCTCTTTAACAAATACAGATAGTCCTCACCTTACAACTGTAACTGAGCCCCAAATTAGGCTTATAAGTTGTTGCAGTCGTAATTTGAGGCATAAACGTGACCGAATCTGATGTTTTTTGACTTCAAAATGGGTTATATGTAACTCTGGGGAGGTCTATTGTAAGTTTGGTCATTAAGCAACCAGTTGTAACTTGAGGACTACCTGTATTATGAGACTTAACCTCTCAGTAAATTTCCACACATATTTACGAACATATATACAATGTCACTTTTTTTTTCTGGAATCTTGATCAGAAAGTTTAAAAAACCCTCTTTCCATGAGTATTATTTTAAATGATGCAATTGGAAAATGAGCATATTCTACCACTTTATTAGTATTAATAAATATTAATCTGCCCAGAAAACGTTGGGCAGATACATTTCCAGAATAATCGGTCTATCTGCCTTTCAGATCAGCATATGTTGCTTAATTTTAAGCTGCTGTTATGCCATGAAAAGTATCCCACTAACATAGAAAAAAAAATCAGGGGCAGAAAGAATTTACTTCCAGTTTACTTAAATATCCCTCCCAGAAGCAAATGTTACTTATGACTTAGCTCCAAGCGAACAGTTAGTTGCAAGCCTAAAATGAAGTAAATTGTCACCTTCTTATCTACTGATGTTTTTCAGGGTATACTTTATCAGTTGGATTGATCTCTTTTGCTATTTGCAAGAAGCATGGGCCACTCAGCAGTGAGCAAAGTATGAACCTCTTGATGTGGATGTTGCAGGTGAAAGGCCTGGTCTTAATTCATTTTGGCACTACAATCCCACAGGTTGCCTATGCAGTCACAATTGCTATGCTCTGTACAAAATTCCTGCATTATCCCCTTCGAGCATCCTGCTACATTGGCAAGTTAGTCACCTTTCACTTATTAAATCAAAATGATATTCTTAGCAAAATTAGGTGAAGCATCTGTTGTTGTATGACATTTCAGGCAATTTGTTACTGTCAATAAAAACCATATCATAATTTATTAAATTTGTTTTCCGCCTAAGTTCTGTTTTCTCTCTAATATGTAATGGAGCTTACACAGTGCCAGAATGTCCCAGAAGTTGTTTGTTTCTGTCCCCACTCAGCTGAAAGTCATTCAGTGCAAGGCTATGGGGACCTTCCAGCTCAAACATAGCATCACAATGTATAGAGAACAACTTGTCCTTGAGGATTTAATTTTTGGCATCAGTGCCCTTTTTCTAAAAGTTATTGTCTTAGTGGATTATGACTCTACAAATAAATTGGCTATGTTTGTAGCCAGTGCAATGCTTAGTTAAGGAAGCATGAATCATTCTTTGAGGATAAGCAAAAAAAAAAATTCCTGGTTTGGTTGCTCCCATACCCTCAAGAAAGCATGGGTTGGTTTGAGAAATGGAGTCTGTTTAGACATTTGCTTTAGGACCTTGGTAAATTGGCAAGGATTTAGAAGGCAACATAGAAATCAAGGAAAAATCTAGGATTCTGGGATCAGTCCTAATAAAGCATGACTAAAACAAATCAGAATGTGTAACCATAATTTCTCTTTGCTTTATTATTTGTGATGCATTAAGAGATTGAAACTGTCTAGTTAACATGAAACCCGGTCTTATCATGATGTGAAATCCAAGTTTCTGTTTGGTTATTTTCTGTACTACCTTGGAAGCAATCATTCCAGGAAGCTTAACAATTATCTGAGTCCATATTCAGTTTATAATATTCTTTATATTTTGGGTGTGTCATTTTAGAAATAGTAGCATTATTAGAGATTTTTCTGACACATGGTTGTGTTCTAGTATTTGAGCTATTACACATTATTCAGCATATTTTAATATTAGTGCTATAGTCAACACTGCATGCAAATAGACGTAATTTTATCACTGTTGGATCAAAACATGTTAGGATTTCTGCTTTATTTGACAAGATAATTCAGTGTGTGTCTAACTACAAGTGTCTTCAAAGGGTGTGACTGTTCATCCATTAAATTATACAATGATAAGGTATCTATATGTTAGGGCTTTTAGCAATAAACTCAGGAACCTGGGGAGAAAAAATTCTTTTAGCATTTTGAATTTTAATCATAATTGGGCTTGGGATCTCATTAAAGGACTGCAGAACTGTTTGGGTATAAAATTGACACCTTGTCAAGAACTCAAGTTTGGTTGTGCTTGGAGAAGCCTTAAGAAAGAGATCTAATCTCCAAGGCAGCAAGATTAGAAGGTCACTTCTTATCTTTCACAATTGCAAAGTGGTACAACACAATCCTCTCTCTATGGCTGCTCGGAAAGAAGAATCATTGGAATTTACTTAGGAGCAAACAACATAGCCAATAAATTCAAACTGTTTTGAATGTAATTCTTTGGTTATTTTAACTTGGTAGGGATTTCCCATTTAGTATAGTGTAGTCAAGAGCAACAGTCTGCCTGTCAGATTCTAGATATTCTTTTTTTAAATATATTCCATACACTTTGGGTTTTGAATCCATAATACAATCTTTACAGTGCCCTCCCTTTCTCCCTGGTTTAGAAAAGCTGCTCAGTATTTCCACCCAGAAAAATTGGAGCCCCGTTATCTGACAGAAGACGAATACCAGGAACAAGGAGAAACAGAGACCACGAAGGCCCTAGAGGAACTGCGCATATTCTGTAGGAATCCCACTTTCCCCTCCTGGGTAGCTGTGGTCAGACTGCAATCTCCACAAAAGTAGGAGCATTTATTTTCTTTTCCATAAAATAGTGAATCTTATTTTCCATTGAGGCTGCCCTTCCACAGGAGTGCTCTTTGGCGGGCTATACTCAAGTATAGCCTTTGTGGATGAGATTTAAAGCAAAGTGGGATTGGGCCAGTATTTTTCTTCCTGGCATCCCTCCCCTTTTTCATCACTTTTAAGTGTTTGGTACATTGCTTTCTTCTGGTTAGTGATCCCTCTTTCTCCTTTCTCCAGGTTTGCAAACTTTGTTCTAGGTTCTCCTCATGTATCTGCTGAAGAAATGACAGCCCATGAGGCACAGTATGGCATCGGAGGAGTCCTCCTGGAGCAACAGCTTTTCCATCAAGAGACCGAGACAGAACCAGAGCCCCAAAATGCTTCTGAGGTGGAGGAGAGAAACAAAGAAGAGGGACTGAGACTATTACAACCAAACATCCGGCATTTTCACAGTAGAGAATTTCTTTGAGCTGGTGCCCAGGTCAGCAAAAGCATGCAATAACATGCTTTTTTGAACTGTAGAGGGCAGTTTAGACATTTTGAAGGACTTACCATGACTTCACTGTTTTCCAGGAAGCACTTAAGTTTGCAAAGCCATCATGATTAGAGTTATGTAAGGAGGCAGTCCAGGCACACCTGAACAATACTGGATTTAGCCAATGTCTCTGCTTAGAGGAACCATTTGCTGGAGGTTTGATGAGGCAGCCTGTGGAGGGCTGGAACAAGGAATTCCTCTCAGTTGCTTTATCAATTTACAAGGCTCACTTTACAGCGGTCTTTTTTTTTTTTTTGCCTGATCATGGTTTCTAAGTTTGCACATTATTCCATGGTGTGCTTAACTCTCATTTGCTGAGTTTACGCAAACATGTTAAGCCATAACTTTCAAAATGGCTGCAATCCAACACAATCACATTGCTTGGGACCAGTGACCCACTGAAGACAACTGATGTTGGGAAAATGAGCTGAGAAATTGAAGTTACTGTTGATTAACCACTTTATGCTAATTATTTCTCTCCAGTAATTGGGTTGGTTATTTGTTGCTTGACTTTTTGTCTTTGGCCAACTGTTTTTTTCCCCTTGATATACTTTGATGTTTTTTTCTATAAGTCACATGGTGTCACTATGGAATCAAGCAGTCTTGAAATTGAAGTACATAAATGAACGTATGAAAGGCTTAGAAGCATATGTGTAAGGAAAGACAGTTAAGAGTTGCTTTGGCTCCAACCAGCTGATTTCGGATGGAGGTCTGAAGCTTTGTTTTTGTTTCATTTTAAAGAAACTTGATTTTTCTTTTGAGGCAACAGGCTGCCAAAAGAATTGTGTAATTGTAGGTTACTAGGACTCTGATTTTCCTTGCACTGCATCCTGACTCCTTTGGACTTGGTAAATATGCTTTGGTTTTCATAGCAGTTCATGATTTGGGATGCAAACTCTTAAGTCTCTAGTCCTTAAATTGAAACATTTCACCTAGAAATATGTGTACTTAACATGCTCTTAGAAACATGGAAAGGGAACCAAGGAGATCTTGTTCTTGAATTACTCTCTAATTGCTTCATATTAGTCTAGCATGCATGAGTCCATTAAGTTTGCCGTAATGTCATCATGATCTCCCTGATTAACCTATCCCACTGGCTTTTGTGAAGATTTAAAAAAATGGAGAGACCATCTTATATACCTTGATTTTTTAAAAAGTTGAAGTATAAATGTAAACAATAACTTTTTAAAAAGTTTTTAAAAAGTTGAAGTATAAATGTAAACAATAACAATGTGTATGTGTGTTGATTGATGCATTGCTGACAAAATGCATTGTAGAAAACTGCTTGGATTTTGTAAATCCCAACCTGTTTTTAATATTCACTTTCAAATAAAACGAGCCATTGTAAATAGAAAGTGCATTCAAATGTATTAATAAAGTAATCTGCACAGAGCAGCCCACAGGACACTACACACGGAGCATCTGATAGTGCTAAAGATGGAGATCCTTGCTGAACCAGATGGTTGATAAAGTTGATTTACTGCTCATCTCCCGGGTTCAAAATTATTTCCGTGTACCCGACTTCCAGTTTGGGCTTCTTCAGCGACAGACCGAAACCTCATCTCTGCAAGGCTTAGATCCGTGCTCGCCACTGGAGCACCCTGAGCCAGCTGGTTTCGGGGCTAAGCCACCCCGTAGAGGTGGTGAAGAGGGGGGAGACTGCCAGCAGGGTTGAGGAGAGCCGCATCTCTCCTCCCCAGCTGGCCATTACTCCCTTTCCCGAAGGCGGTTGCAACGGTGGTCAGAAATGGCCACCACAAAGAATAACTCGACCGGAAAAGAATGTTCAGGAGGAAGATAAGAAGAGAAAGTTTTGGTTGACCGGGTCAAACAGCAAAAGCAACAAATAAGGTACCCTGGAATTGAAACTGTTAAAAAACAATAACATTGTTCCCTAAGATTTTTAAGCTGTGAAGGAGAGAGAAAAGGGAAAATATTTGGTTTTCTCCTTTTCCTATACTGACAGCTAAGAGACTTAAGCAAGAAATTGGAAAAAAATCCACTTTGACATCAATAGGCATTTAATGCTGAAAATAAAAAGTCAAAGGGATAATAAAGATTTCTGGATAATTAAAAGCTTTTGAAAATAGGAAAGGAGAGAGGAAGAATAAAAGGGCAGGATCTGGAAGGGAGGAGACTGCCTGGAATTAAAAAAGAACTTACAGCAAAATCTCAACAAGACTTCCAAAAGATACATTCTAACTGAAATATCGCCAAAAAAAAACCCCAGGAAGAGAAAGTCGAAAAAGAAATAAGATATAACTCGGGACTATCTGGATTACTTGATGATTTCTGGATTCTTGGTTATTGTTTTGAATGACTAAAATCAATTGGGTGGTTGTTTAAAGCTTTTTAAAATGGCTCCACTTTTAGAAGAACTGAAAATGGAACTTAAAAAGTACAAAGAAGATGCACAAGAAGGCTTCGTATTTCAGTTTTTAGAAATGGAGATTTGGAATTATGAGAAACAAGAAATGCCTGCAGAACAAGAAGATTGCAACAAAGAAGAAGCCATCTTTAATGAACAAGTAATCTTAGATGGGGGAAAAAGGGGGGGAAAGAGAATGGAAAGTCTAAGATTGGGAAAAACAACTCCAAAAAAAAAAAAAGAGTGAAAAATAAGTATAAAATCAGAAAGCAACAGAAGAGGGAAATGCAGAAGAGAGAATTAGAACTAGAGAGACAAGGGGGTAAAAAGGGGAGGGAGAAGATGAGAGGGAAGAAAGAAAGGAAAAGAAGTTATAAAGAAGCAAACTATAGAGAAACGGTCTATTTAGAGATAATGGGTGAAAACTTAATGGAAAAAGGGATTCTGCAAAGGTACATAAGATAGTATGGTTATATTAGAAGCAGAAATAATTTTAGAAAATATGAAACAATGTATAATTAAAATGTCTGATAAAATAGCTATCGTAATTCAGTGGAATGCTTGTCAATAAATAAATGTAACAAAAGGTATATTTAATGATTTATAAAACATGTGAAGAGAAATAAGGGAAAAATTAATTATGGAGATTATATGTGTTTTCAAGGAAGTATGATATTTAATTGAAAAGAAGTGTTAAAGATGTTATGGTTTTAATGATTATTGATAGAACTGAACTGGAATGGAATGAGGGTTTATAATTACATAATACTTACAATCTTTCTTTTTTTTTTAAAGAATATAGTGTGTATTTTAAGTATGTGCCGAGCAGAATTCGATTGGAAGTTATGTATTATGTATTATACTGAAGGTCATAAACTTAAGGTATATATTGAAGTTTAAATAAGAGTTGAATGGATGTAATTAAAAGATATAAAGGTGTCATACTCCAATTAGTAACTACAGGAGAAAATTTGTTTAATGAGAAAAGATAATATGAAATTGAAACAGAACAGACAAAAGTATAAATATGATGATTTGAATTGAGATGAGATAATCAAAATAAAATTGAGAAAATTAAGAGGGGAAAAACTATATAGAAAATGTAAAATAGCATAAGATATGGAATAGAATACAAAAAGGAGCATGAAATTGAGTTTTGTGTCTGTATAAAGAAGTTCAGCCAGGGACCCATGCTATTTTCAAAACGACGTTTTACTTGTATTTTGTGTGAGAAAACCCAAATAAAACTTTATTTTTTAAAAAAAAAAATTCCGTGTACCCCTTGATGCCAAAAATAAAAACAAGAAAAGGGATATAATTAACTTCCTCTGGACAAGGAAAAGGAAAAGGGAGGAGGGGAACTCATCTATGATCTCACAAGGGGACTTTAAATCCATCCTCTGAAGGGCAGTTCTTGAACTAGCCAGACTATCATTGATCAATACTTGTCTGCACTTGCAAGGAATTTCTATGCTTCATGTACCAGTGACAATTTGATTGCACTCTAGGTACCAAAGAAGAAAAGCTGCCTTGTTGCAAAAAGTCACCATGTCAAGCCAACCGTGGGGTGGGGGTGGGTGGGTGGGTGGGTGAAGGAGTCCTTCAGAAAATCGCAAGCTGTAGGGAAGTTGAAAAAGCAACCTGGAAGAAGAAAGTGACAAGTCATCTAGTAATCAGGAATCAGGAATCAAGCTTAGTGGGTGAGGTTATCAAAAGTAACTGCAGGACAAGTGTCATAACCATCTTAAGAGCCAGGATATAGCCGTTATTGAATTGAGGGCTTCCTTACTGATAATTTTAGAGAGAAAACTTGCTGTGCAATCACTTGCCAAGAAGTTAGTGAATTCTTTTTCTTCGTTTTCAGCAGATTAGCAAAAGGTTCCCTCGGTGCATATAAAGCAGGTAACAAATATGCTGAATACCTGCCATCATCCGATGGCTGAATGAGAGGAGTCACCCATTCACTCCTGCAAATAGAGCAGTCAGATTAGATCATAAAGTCTTGTTAATATTGTGTTTCATCCTGTACAGTACTCTTTAAAGACCTGGCACTAATCAGAGCCATTAACTGGAGAAGAGAGGCTGAATGGTAAGTATCTCAAAACTAGCCTAATAGCAACACGAAGTATTTAGTAAATACAAGAGCTTGCTAATCCACCACCTCCTATGATCATTTATGTTGTTATTGGGACATGACATTTTTGACATACATAGAATTTTATTTATCTCACTACATTTTAACAACTTCACAAATACGAGAGCTGTCTACAGCCCCACTGTTCACAAGCAAGGAAGGAACTGATTTGACTGGCAGGTTGGATATGTAAACATAATGTGCAAGTTCAATGCCTTACAATTCAGGAATCCAACATTAACAGTTATTACCACAGCGTTTATCATATAGGCTTCAGATAAATTCATCTAAAGGATCCACCGTCTCTTTTAAATAACCATTTTCAATCTACTTTGTTTTTTTAAAAAAAATCATTTCCTTCCTTCCCTCTGCAATATAAACATATAATAAATAGAATTCTGATTTTATTTTTAAAGGTCACTTAAACAAGTCAAGAGAAATTTACAGTACATTTAAGTTGAAGTGCAAAAAATAGCTAATAACTACTTGCCAATATTTGGTCCCAGGTACAGATTATAGTCTGTACAGTCCCTTAAGGCTTATGTAAGGAAAACACCCTTAACATCTATCTTAAGGTATTCTATATTCTGCATTCAAAATCAAGTTTATCTGAAATTGAATTCTATGAGCCACACCAGCCCCTGGGGCATAAATGGCATCCCACTGGCTGCCAGAAGTCAAAAGCCAACTGGGCAAAACTACACATGAATGGGACTCCTCTAATGGAAGGCTAAATTTGACATACAGTATGTGCTTGAAGCCTAAGCACTATGAAATTGATTCTGACGTTTCCCTTTAGCTATAATAACAAAGAATGCACGGGAACTGGGTTCAATTCTGTGAAATGTGAAATGTTGAATCCGAATCTGTCAATGTCTTGACAAGTAGTGCTACGACAACATGATCAATATGCTCCATCCATTTATCTCTTCTTCCAGCTGCTTTTATATTAACTATGTCTTCCTTTCCTATATAATAATTAGGATTTATACCCCTTCCCAATCCACAGGCACTTTAAATATATTCTATAAAGTTTTATTCCCTTTCCTCTTAAATAAACATATTCTATCGTAAAATAAACTATATCGGCCTGGCTAAGAAAACTTCTCAAGAAGCAGATGATATATATGCCTGCTGCTGAGCATCCTCTCATTACCAGTTTTCAGAACAGACTGAAGACCTCGGTTAGGGAAGTTGTATCAACATCACCACTCCCAAAAATCTAATAAAGCTAGACATTTCTGACTCTTTGTTGTTATTGTGTAACACAAGTAGGAACTTCTCAAATCTGCCTGTGGTGAAGGAGTCATGTTTCCCTATCACATACATCAGAGAGGCAAAAAAGAATCCACAAAGATTGCTTCTGTAGGACAATCCCTCTTCGGTGATTAGGACAAACTCATCCTATATAAAATCATTAGCATCTTCCAACTGTACCATCACAGTTCAGGCCTTCAAACTCAACACCACACATCTCAACCCACATCCTGTTCTTGCAGGGTTAGGGACAACCACATTTTCCTGTACTGGTTCTTTCTAAAATGCTAATGCACTCTGGCCTGGCCATAGCAACATAAATGCTGCTTGTCTGGTTAGGAAGGCTTCAGCAGATATTTCATGTAGAACTTTTCCAGCCAAAAGTTCTCCAGCATCTCTGAGAAGTCTTTACAAAA